AGCTCACAGGTTTGGGCCTATGGAGTCCACTTCGCTTTCGCTGAGAGAGAGAGCATCAGAGCTGGCATGGCCACAGGCAAGCACAGGTGGGTTCTACTGCTGTTTCTGCTATGAACGCACAGCAACTGCCTATTAGAGGATGAATCTGACAATCAAAATCAGCCAATGAAATGGGAGCTGGGGAAAATGAAAATACAGTGATTCAAACTTGTGCATCCTGGTGTTTCCCAGGCAGACATTGCCACAGTGGAACATTGTTTCCAAAGAGGCACATCTTCAGTTCATTTTTTTTTTAATTATTAAATATTTGTAGGCCCAATTAGTTACTTGTCAGCTGAAAGCAAGCAAACTCCACTCCAGGAATTCTCTCTGTCAACCCAGCCACTGCATTTAAAGTTACTGTATTTTAACTATACCCAACAGTCTGCTTATGATTCATGTTTTTCTTTCTGTCTGCATCATTAACAGAAGGTTAAGACTGCATCAATCATTTCACATGCTGTTAGTAAGTGGACACAATTCCAGTGCTAACACCATCACCTACAAACCATAATCGGCACCATTGCCCTCCAGGGCACTGAGTTTTGCGCACTGCATTTTTCAGACACTCAGCCTGGAGGTTCCCCAGGGTGCTCAGTTGCAAGGCCCAGTGCTGCATTTCTGAGAGATGGCTCTGCTTTCTTTTCTCCTCCCTCCTCCCCCCATGTGGCACTGCCTTCTCTCAGCAAAATACCATTTTCACAGGGCATGATGTTGCAACGTTGCCAGTTTGCTGGCCGTGGCCTCCAGGAGCAATGATGCTCCAGCACGGGCTTGTTGGTGCGGACGTGCACGCAATCCACGCGCCGGGACTGGAAGCCATAGTTTCCGCATGTAGCTGTGCAGACGGTCCACAGGCTGACCCTCCAGTGCACGCCACAGACGTCGGTCCAGCAGTTTTGGGTACTCAGTGGCCTGTGGGCAGGAGGGAAGAAGGAGTCATCTGTCACCAAGCTGCTCAGGGAATAAGCACACACTGGTTCGGGTGTCACGTAAGCTCTGGGGACAGCAAGCCTTGCTATATACCAAAACATAGTTCACGCAGAGCACTGTATGGGTCAGGTCTTCAATGGGGCAAGTGAGGGTAACTCCAGCACTCTGGAAGGCAGCTTGTAACTGTACTCGGATCCAAGCCCTCAGTAGGTGCATCTCTATGGGAGCTAAACAGCCATTTGAATTATCTGGGGATTTGGCTCAAATGTCCTCTCCAAAAGTACCAAAGCAGAGGTCCACTGAAAAGATGCAATGAGTAAAGTTGCAACCAGTAAGACCCAGCAGGGCTTTGTAACTTTTTAATGGCTTTACAACTTTTTTATGGCTTTACAGCCAGTGCAAACAAAATTGATTCTCTGAAACACTCCTTTTCCCTTCAACACAGTCTCACACTTGGTTCCCACCTATCTGTCACACAGATAATGATAATACACAAATGGGAGACAAAGAGGCAATGATATTAATTTCCAGTCATGACTGGGCATAATTTATGCATCTAGGTCTCATGTAGATATGTCTTTACGATGTTGACAGTGGAGTTTATTTGCCTCAAAACAAAATTAGTAGAGTTCCCTTTTTTGCCCAGTTAGAGCTTGTATTTAAATAAGAGAGAAGGAGACCGGTAGCTTAAGAAGAGGTAGCATAATCTTTCTGTCAGGATCTGGCATGCCTAGAAGACTTTCCAGTTTTTGGCCATCTAGTGTTTTGGTGTTTTTTTCTGGGGCTCACAGGAACAAATAGTGAAGCCTTGGCTTGAGCCTGGTGAGATTTGTACCATGTAATTCTGTGGGCTGTAGAATGACCTCTTTGTTAGATATGGGAAATCCAAAATTTGTCAGTTAAGTCACTAGTCTGTTCAACATCTCTGCAAAGGGTAGTGGTTTCAGACAGAAGGGATTCCTGTCCTACCTCGGCAAGGCACTGCATTGATCAGACGACACAGTAGCCCTCTCTTTGGTCTGGCAAAATATCTGTCTGTGCTGTACAGCCAGTCGCGGTCCAATGCAAGGCCCATTACACTGTGAACACAGAAAAATTGCTTAAGGGAGGTAAAAGGTAGGACATGTTCCTCTTATAAGACTATTAATGAAATAAAGCGCAGTTTCCTGTGCAGTGACTGTTGAGATTTCAAGCACTGCAGCTCTGCAGGCTTTGAAGGCTGAGCTGCAGTCATCTTCTGTCCTACCTCATTCTTCTCCAGTACCATTAAAAGCGCATTTCTATATCTGCTCTGTAGAGTTGTTATCTCTGCTCTTCAATAGTTCAATCTAAACACATCTGTTAGGGCAAAAAAAGTGCTCTCATGTTGTTAGCCAAGAGCCTATGATCCATATAGGAAATCTCAATATATTCCTTTCACCCTGTATTTTGCAGCTTGTACTATTACAATTTATCTGCAAATAGTTAATAACCAAAAACACATTGAACCAAGAACGCATCCCACTCCATTTAATAATTTAAAAGCATTGCAGGACAATAAACCAAAGCAGCAAGCATGACGAGCACAACAGATCTGCAACCTTGGTCCAATACTGAAGTTAACCTTACCTATTCAAGGTTACCAATCGTGTGCTTACAGTTTAACTCTTCTAACTCTCTCTGGTTAAACTGTAATTTACTATAGGTATGAAGCATTTTAAAATTACATAAATTGTTGTGAAAGAGTTTGCTTTTCTAAGTATCTGGAAATTATATTCAGGAAAAGGATCTTAGTGCGAGAGGGCACCTTTTGGCAGGGGAAGGCTGCTGACAGATGCCTCTGCCTCCTGCATCCTCCATGGGTAGGAGCCCTATTTTACACTACCATGCATTCCTCACATAATACTCTTTTCCTGCTGCTATTCCTTCCCTCTTTGACAACTGGGAGAGAGAAGCAGCTACTGCCAGGTTTCCAGTTGCTCCTGGCCAACCCCTTGTTGAGCAATGTGGGTGGAAATGTTTTTTGTTGGACTATGTGGATGTGCAGGATACCCAGGGAAGAGCTCTTGGTGAAAAAAGGCAAGATGCAGAAAGGTGTTAATTCAGCTCAGCTCTGTCTTGCCTTGACAGACCCTTTACTATGAAGACTCAAGGGGGCATTGTGGAAAATGACCCAGCCCTGAGTCATCGCAGAGTGGAACAGCAGACAAAGGATCAAAATCTGAATAGAACCAAACACCAGATAACAGTCATTTTGCCCTGAGTCTCATATTAAACCACTATCTACTCTTCTAGATAGTGTTAAATGTAAATCATGTATGTGTGAAATATGTTAATCTGGCTAAGTATCAAGATATGTTAATTTGGCTGAGTCACGAGTGTGGTAGTTATCGCACACTTAGTAGTTGGTGCCCAGGAGAGGTAAAGGGAAATCTCATCATACCACCAAAGATAAACATTCTAGATAGTCCAAGTCCCTTCAGGCATGCCTCTGCCCACCACACTCCATCTTTACAGTATAAAAACTGTTAGATTTAGGGCAGAATTTTGTGGGAGAGAGAAGCTTTTCCAACCATACAGCTGGAATGTAGGAAATTCTTCCCCCCTTATTTGAGACATCAGATAAGAATATCTTCCTCGGGATTGAGAACCATTACCTGAGAGAGGGTAAGTGACTAAGACATGTGTGGCATGCTTTATGATTGCTGTTGGTACTAGCTTGCCCACTTCTTACAACTGTACTAGTACATTTTTTTCTGGTCATCACTGAGTTCTGTAATAGTGTATGCTGTGTGATTTTGTGTTGTTGTTTCTGTCGCTAATTGCAATAGTGCATTGTGTCCATAAAACCTGCATTGTGACATATTAGACATGTAAGTGGACAATAAACTGATAGTTTGAACCTTACAGTGAAGTCCATGTGTTGGACCTGAGAGTGAAGTTCAAACAACTGGTTGCATGTTTGAATCTTCCAGTGAAGTCCATGTATTGGACCTGTGAGTGATGTTCAGATAGATCTCTAACTAAAACCTTACAATGAAATCTTTCTGTCACAGTGAAGCACTTGCTGTGATATCTGCAGGGGCCTGCAGTCCTCATCACTAGCAAACCTGAGTCACCGGTTTTAAAATGGTATAGGATTATGGTAGTGGACATCAAAGTGCCACTAATGCTAAATGAAGGAAAGAAACTCATACTAGATGCGGGGATAGAGTAAGTAGTCTGTTTATCATGTGAGTTGGGAAAGTTGGTCACTACACTTGGGCAACAGAGACCCAATATCCCTGATACCGAGAAGGTCATTGAGCCACTCAACCAGCGTTGTATTCCTAAAGAGAATTAGATAATAATCTTCTGGCTTGTAGACTGAGCTGTATAGAATCATGTGGGACGTGATTATTTTTTTAAGCTGGCCAGGAGAAATGTTATATTATGATGCACAGAGGTTAGGCCTAACAAATTAATTCAGATCTCTTTGATTATCTCAGCTGAGTATGATGTTATGGGGAAAAATATAACCCATTATGATTTGCAAGATTAGGTTACTGGCTTTTTTCAAGGATAATCCAGTCATTGCCTGGAATTTCAGAGAGAGTGAAAACTTGCTTCTTCTATAGAAAAGGAAAATTCATCAACTACCTGGATGAGGGAATAGAGTACACTTACCTGGCCCCAGGAGGATGCCACCCACTCAACACAGGGCTGCCTGTTACAGCTCTGTGTGTCCACGGGGCGCTTGGACAGCTGAGCACAAGCCTCGTTAGACACCGGCACAGAGCTGCCTTTTGTTGTCAGGCGCTGACATGTCACTCGCCGCATCTGTATGCCTCCACCACAGCTCCGTGTACAAGGAGACCAGGATGTTACCATCCATCTGCAAGAGAAAGGGAAACAGGTCAGGGAGCAGATATGGGCCACTATCTGCCATCATTACTGGTGGGAACAGGTCTTTATGTATTGGACCAAAGAAAGGCCACAACTGCTTGGTTAATTTAGGGTGTAATGCTGGAAGGTCCTCAAGGTTGCTTTAAAAAAGCTTTGTAAATATTTCTAACCGAGGCACAGGGGTTGTGAGTGGCCACTGTGCCACAGAGGCCTTGGTCACAGGCTACAGACAAAACACAAGCAGTGACTGACCCATTTGAACTCTTTGATAGGGAAAACTTTCTCCGTTTCTGCCAGAATAGTTCTCAGGCCACTTTGATCTTATTGCCGACAGAATAGCCGGAAGTCTGTTGGGTCCTGCTGGTGCCTGCCTGCTCTGTTACACCCCTGACAGCTGGGATAATCCAGAAAAGCCTGAAGGTTGCTCAGGCATGGGGATGGTACATAGCCTGCCTAGGGAAAAAGGACACCTTTCTTTTTTCCTCTTGAGCTCAGACCATGCATTGGGGCATGCTCAGATCACGCACAGACCATGCACAGGGATTCATAACCCCTGTGTGATGGAGTTTATAAAATCCAGTTTAACTAGTAAAAAGCCTGTAATGACAAAAAATACTAGTCCAGGTCCAAACTGTTACAAAGGTGGACAACATATTTTGTCTCTTTAAGGATCATTAAGTGAAACACCCGGGCTTGTGATGGGGATAGATAGGAATGGGGAGGATGTGACAGATTACTAGTTTCCTGAAGATTTTTATGGCCAAGTCAGCAGTTTCCTTCATTAAGTTTCAGGATACTCAGCAGAGTTTGTGTGATATTGGGCAGAAAATAGTGCCTATTGTGTCCCTCACCAGCAGCATTTATGATTACTTTACAATATAGGCAATAGGCATTCCCCAGTCCCATGGAAAGGCATCCATTACTATTCCTCAGTCTTCTGTGGGTGGTTAACTCTCATGGTCACAGAAATATGTATAAAAACAAACACATTCCCAACACGGAAAGCAAAAATACTGCTCCAGCTGTTTGGTGAAGTTGAATCTGAAGTTTCTGCACTCTTGTAAAGCTCTGCTCTGCATTTCAATCAAATTTTATTTCCAAGCTTACGTCTCAGTGGCTTCTCAAGGGCTGAAGGAGGATTGTGGGTTGTGTTACAGTTCAGATAAGGTATAAAAAGATATAAACCATTCCCATGGAATTTAATACCATCACCAAGGAAAACTGCTGCTAATGAGTGTGTTTCATATTTCGTCAAATTTCTTTTGGTTTCCTTCTTATGATTCAGAATACATTTGTCTGCAAAGTGGGGTAGGAATATATTTTAAAAGTTAATTAAACAGTACTTTGCTATGTATACAAGACATAGCAAGAGTGGTAAATCTGGCCATTTCTTATCAGGTTGCTTAGCACCTCTCCTTGCCTCAGCTAAGACTCTTTGTTAATACAAGTGCCAGACACTGTTGAGTAAGTGAAGTTGTACTAAATTTCTCATGAGAACCTGACTACTTTTAAGTGATTGTATACTGAAACATACCATGCCTGCAGTAGAAATAAGGAAGAGGATGGAGTAAGAATGTAGGAAAATATGGAAGAGCGCGTTTATGCATCTCAGCCAAGGAGCCACTTCCACGCAGAAGTAGGACATTTTTAACATGGAGGGAGCACAACACTACACTGACTTTCTGGGTAGGCAGTCAGGATGTATTCTTCTTTGCACCAAAGCGTCTTGAAAAAGGAAAGTATTTTATATGAGGAGGAAGCAGCAAAGGAAGACCTAACTCAGAGTACTTAGAAGTTTTTCAAGCTGTCCTGGCTCCAGTGAGTTTAATAGTAACTGAAAGTAGAAAAAAAAGAGATTGCTGGGACAGAGAGTTAAAAATAAGGAACCACAAGGCAGCAGTCTCCAATAGGAGGCTGAACTCAGTCTGACTCCACTTCATGCTCACTAGATCTGGTGGGATGTGCCCATTTTACAAAAGACATCTCCACTCTGTTAAGGGAATTCTTTGCAGCTGCAGCTACAGTCCTGCCCATACTGTTGCTCAGGAAACAAAAGAATTCAGACTAAAACCTCACAAAAGGTGCTAAACCTAGCTTCTTGTTTGTTATATTGTTGGGATAAACTGGCATGAAGCCCTGTGGAACACAAAAAAATATGACCCTACAGTGCTTGGGTGACAAAACTCCCATACACACAGAGGTCAGAACAGGCGTGACATTTACATACAATATAGGGTGAGGCTGGATTTACCCAAGACAACCCAAGCTGTGAACTTTGCTAGTAAAGACTAGGTAAAACTATTGTTTTCCAGCCTAAGTACTGAATAACAACTCTCTTTCTATCATGTACTGTCAATGTTTCCCACAAATCTTGCTAAAATTCCCAGCTGTTTAGGTTAAGCACTCATAAATTGCCTTTTAGCAATGGCTTTTCTCCAGACAAGCACCAGAGGGGCTGCAATGACATGATGTTTGGAGTGAATAACTCTTCAGGAACTTCTTAGAAGAATGTAAAACATTTTAACATGAGATGGACAAACCGTGAAGGGCAGTCTCTCCTGTTGCATGCGATGGGCTGCAGGGCTGGCTTGGGCTTCTCTTTGCAGTGGGATGTGTTGACTTCGGCCCCATCCAGTAAGCACCTCAGCTGGGGTAGCTGCACCCCTTTGTGGCCACAGGAAGCTGAACAAGGCATCAGCTTGTCCACTGACCACCGGTATTCTGCCAAGAAGTGAGAGAGAGACATGTTAACTCTCAAAAACTGCCATCAGGAGATCCTTAGAAAAGAGAGTCAGAGTTATTCTTCAGGGTGAAATATTTGGATGCAGTGTCTCAGGTGAAGAGGAGCTGTTGTAATCAGACTTAAGTTTTAAGGAGCTAATTGCTTAATGAATAATTAATCATAATTTTAATTAAATTAGTTTATTAATTTATATTAGGATAAGGAATATAGAACTCTACTTATGCTAAGAAGTCGTGTGTAGGCCTTAGCAAAAGCCAGAGCTGTGCAGGCTGCAAAATTAGCAGGGAATGTTTTGTACTTGTAAAAGGTCTCACCGCACCTGTGATTTGGTTTTACCACACCTGTGTTTTGGTCTCACTGCACCTGTGCTTTAATAACAATACCAGCATATTTCATTTAGACAGACACCAGGCACCAGGTAACAAAAAAATAAGGAACAGGATTCCAGCTGATGTAAGCCACTGACTGTCTTCAGTATAACAAACCCAATGTTTTGGTGCTTAGAAGCATCAAGCATGGGAAGTGAATGATGTGGTAGTGCAGTTAAGTGAAACTAGTAGAGGAGGACATCATAACTATATTTCTAAAGGGTGTATTTTAGTGAAGATCTGGTTAACTGTCAACACTAGCAGTACCTACAGTTTTATGATCTTACAAGAATGTGTTTCTCACCAGGTAGATCATAGAGATCATCCATTCTGATAATGAATAGGGGACTTGCAATACACTTAAAATTTCATGGAAAAATTTAAGGAAAAGTTAAGTCCTTCTCCACTCCATCCCTGGCAATTAGAGCAATGACAGTTGAATATTCTGTTCTGTGGCTTTATCAGCTTCAGCTTATTTCTAAAGTCAATCTAACAGTTTTAGCATTTTAATAAGGGAAGGACTTGGAAGCAAGAACAGGCTGTGAAACACTGACTTTAGCAGACTAACAGAGGGGCTTCCACTTTTAGGGGTTCAAACTTTGACATCTCTATCTTGAATTTCTGGGCAAAAACTGCCCACACTCAATAAGCGTTAAGTACAGCTTGATTCAGTGAGGTGCTCAGCAGGCCGGAAATATCAAATGTCATTTTGGTAAAGTAAAATCTAAGACATTGTAAGTTATCTGGTAGTCCTGTAAATCTATATCCATGGCAGTAAAACATCAACACATGTATTTCTAAGTTAGGATAAAGGAGGAGTTTGCCCTGCTTGAGGAGGACTGGGTTAGAGATCACTTAGGCAATCTGAACATCCACAAATCCATGGGCCCTGATGGGATGTACCCATGAGTGCTGAAGAAGCTGGTGGAAGTCATTGTTAGGCCACTCTCCATCATCTTTGGTAAGTTGTGGGCAACAGGAAAGGTGCCTGAGGACTGGAGGAAATCAAATGTCACTCCAGTCTTCAAAAAGGGCAAGAAGGAGGACCCAGGTAACTACAGACCAGTCAGCCTCACCTTCATCCCTGGAAGGGTGATGGAACAACTTATCCTTGCCACTGCCTCTAGGCAGTGGATAAGTCACGTTTGACCAATCTGATAGCCTTTTGTGAGAACATAACCAGGTGGATAGATGATGGCAGCACAGTGGATGTAGTTTATCTGGATTTCAGTAAGGCATTTAACACCGTCTCCCACAACATCCTCATAGCTAAACTGAAGAAGTGTGGTCTGGATGATTGGGTAGTGAGATTGATTGTGAACTGGTTGCAGGAAAGAAGTCAGAGAGTTGTGGTTAATGGGACAGAGTCTAGCTGGAGGCCTGTATCTAGTGGAGTCCCTCAAGGGTGGGTA